AAATAGTCTGTTGTTCATAGGATAAAACAAAGGAATTCTTTATCACCTAGCACCAAGGCTATTGTGATCCCAAGTGGGCCTTGGGGTTCCTGGGTGGTTCAGTAGGTTAAGTGTTTGATTCTTGATTTCGGCTCAGGTCATGATCTCAGGGTCATGCCCCTGAGATCAAGCCCCACATTGGGCTCTGCACTGGGCATGGAGCCTGCTTGGGATTTTTCTCTCTCCCTCTCCCTCTGCCCCTCCCCACCCCGACTCGCGGGTGATAGTGTTCTCTCATTCTCTCTCTAAAAAAAACAAACAAAAAACAAACAACAAACAAAAAACCCCCACAAAACAAAAACAAGCCAACAAAAAAATGGGCTTCATAAATTATTAGCATATTACACCAGGATCATGAATGATAGATATGGAAGTAGCCTGGAGAAAACAAAGTGTAATTAAACCATTGGTTCAAAATAAGTGTGATATAATCCTCATTCTCTACTCTTGGCAAATAAATTAAAGATAGCATACTGAAAATGTCATTGATTTACTTCTCAGATGATTGTTCCGTGTCCTAGCAGTAGTCCTTAAACAATATTTTCTTGCTTCCATTGAATTCTTTCATAAGACGGTGGACAGATGCTTCCCAGCTGTTGCTATATGTCAGGAAGCAGCTTTATAACTCTGTCTCCCAATGAAATAAATACAAACTGTAGGTTATAGAAGTTCCAGTTCTCACGTTGGTGGTATGTCCTGGGAATGCTATAATGGCTACCACCTGATATATGCAGAGGGAAAGCAAGTACGAAAAATGTTCCATGCACCTCATGCCTTTCTGAAAAATGATAGCTTTCCCCCAAGACATATGGAAACAACTGCTTTCCTGAATGTGTAATGTCTCAGGGCACAGATGAAGCTGGTCGGCTTGACAGATAACAGCAAGAAGAGAAATATATGAACATTTCTCTTTGGGCCAAGAAGCAATAATGTGTCTTACTAGAGTTACTGCCTCTATTAAAACTAGATACAGGATATTAATTGTATTACTACAGGAGACAGAAACAAGGACTGGGAGCACAGCTCCAAAACAGCATGGGAACTGTCACTTCCCAGGTCAGGCTTTCCTAATTAAGTCCCAGTGGGGTCTCCTGTTCATTGCAGTAATGTGCACTTCTCAGGATAAATGATATTTAAACACACAGGAAAAAAAAAAAAATCCCGGCATCCAAATTGGTCACCAATTCAAATTCATACTAGTTGGCAGTGACCGCAAGAAGTTACACGATCCTCCAGCGTCTGTCTGTTTACCAGTGAGCAGTTGTGAGTTAGCGAGTTCTCTGCCTCTTCAGAGTAACCACAGCTGTATTTTAAGACCCAAGTCATCAAAGGCCAAGCCAGACCCATCAAAAGGCAGAACACCAGCAAAATGGAGCCACAAGAAATATTCAGTCTTGGAGGACACAATACAGAGACAGAGTGGTGGCTGCCTGCTGGCCATTTTTCTTGCTTTCAATTTAGCTGTTTTGAGGGGGCAAGGGGGAGGTGGGAGGGGCGGTCTCTTTTCCTTGGAACCCTCCAGCCATGCCCGCCATCTTTCATGTCAGGACTCCAAGAACATGGAGAGAGAATATGCAGGTGCACCTGGTGTTGGCTCCCCCGTGTGGCTGTGAATCCGCACCCAGCTGCGTCTACCTGTGTCCTGTGTGTTTACTTCGCTCTGCTTGCTCCCAGAGCGAGTCTAGCCTTCTTCTTCAACCCCAGCACTCAAACACTTTTTAGTACTCGTGTCTCTTTCCCTGGATTTTCTCTGAGCTTAAGAAATCTCCAAAGACAGAAAACAAACAAAACCCTGACTCCAGTTAAACCCACAAAAACGTGAAATACATCAAGACCGGCACTTCTTTGGTCCTCCCCCCACCCATTTTTTTTTTTTTTAAATCTTGAATTCCTAACGGTAGAAATTACATTTTTTTCCTCAAATGAAAAGACTATGAATAAATATATAGATACAGGATTCAAGTGAACTAAGTAGATTATAAAGAAAAGTTGCCACCTTCTGGCACAAAACAATCTATGAGGATGGACTTGGTAACTGTGGTGGATAATCGGGGCCATGTCTGACTTGAGCAAGAGGTGAATTGCTGCTCTTGAAGGAAAAGCCACATACCCCACTCACCTGGCCATTTTCATTCCCCAGAGCCTTGCATACTTCCCTGCTACACTATTAATAAAACAAGTGAGTCCTATGAGGACATCTATTTTACTAAGCTATTATTCCATAGGGTGGTGTCCTAGGTTAATAAAGCCTCATTAACAATTGCTAGCAGAACCCCTCAAGCTTTTCCAAGAATTCATTTTACAATAATGGAAAGAACATCACAATTTCCCCCCATATCCAATTTCAAATGCCCTACAGCAAAGAATAGGAAGTTAGAAACACAAAAAAGGTATGTGCTATCTTTTCAATGTCAAAAGCACAGTCGTTCTGGGGGTCACTGTTAGTTACTGAACAACCAGTGTGGATTAAACGTGCTTCCATTTTTAAAGTGCGTATTATTTTCTTCTTTGTCCCGTGGAACACACAACACTACAACACACAGGGAGAATCCACTGTTTTGGCCCTGCATGTTCTAAATTTCCCACAAAAGTAGCAAGACATGTTTCTTGAAAGTCTTCTAATACAGACACAAGAGGGTCATTGTGCCATATTTACTTTGCCGTTTATTTAATGCCAGTACCATATTGGTTAGGGTGAAGAAAATGCATATTTGCTTGGCACATGTTGGAAACTGTCATCCAGAGAGGCTGATGATTATTAACACATGTTGTCTCAATAATTAAGAGGTACCCAGGTCATTAAGAACTCATTAATCTTCAAGAATTTTTTATCCCACAGGATCAGGTGAGAAGGTAGAACAGGGAAAAATTATGCTTTGCTTTTTCCATTGGAAATGAAATAAAAGCCATACAATAATGGGACTGGAATGTGGATCTCTCTCTCATTTGGCTTATATTTCAACTGCAGAACTACTTATTACTTTAGAGTATGTTCTTTCATTTTGTTTAAAAAGATGTTTCTCCTAACAATGGTCCAGATAGAAATGTTTCTGTTAAATATGCATTGGAGTTGGCAAAAGTTGGTAATTTTTCCACCTTAGCTTCAGCTGTACTTGAATAATAAAAACATTCTGTAATCCCATCCACTCCTGTTATTCGCCCAAAGCCTTTCAGCCTCGTATGCCCTTTTGCCTCCTTTCCCATTTTATGGGATGCCTTTCCCTCCACCACTTGCTTTCTTTCCCCATCTCCAAATTCTCCTCCAAGATGCAAGGCCATTATATTGCTTGAAAGAATCAAATCTTCTTTCCTGGAGTGTCGCACAACTGGAAGCCAAAGGTTTCTTAGCATCAAGAACAAAGACTTTTATTTTGTAAAATCCTTCGTCCTGAGTGATCCTCCTTCTTCCTGAGTTGAGAATGTCAGCATTTTGCTGAAGGCTCAAAGCCACTTAAGCCAGGCAGTGCAGTAGAAAGAAAAACTCACAATATTTTCCTGTAGACTGTTTTTAATGAAATAATGGTCTTGGGAGATGTGAGCTTGACAGCTCAAGAGACAGAGATATTCTGATTAGCCAAAGGGTGAGCAAAGCCTGGGTCAGCAGCAAGGCACCAGCCTGACTTCTGGCTTGGGGCAGATCGGCCGAGGAAAATACAGTCTGTCTCATCACCGTCTGCAGAGCCCAGGCCGAATAGCCCCGACGAGGACCAGCTGTGAGGGCCGGCCTCTTGATGGAGAGATGCTTCAACTCAAAGCTGAACCGACTCCCCAGCCCGCTGCCACAAAGGGCCATCAGGCCAAAAATCTCTAGGCGCCCACCTCCCTAATCAAGCCCCAGTCAAAGATCCACCCAGCAGCACATTACTTACTTCTTTGTCATCTCTTTTGCTCAACATCAATAATGAAACCGCCAATCAGGTTGGCCCAGTGTGCTATTTTGATCAAGCAAAAAAGGGGAAAACTTCTCATCCTCTTATATCTCATAGTTCAAATGTGTTTCTTTGAAGGAGACAGTTTTCTCTAATAAACAGACATGATGTTACAAAGATTATTAAGAAATCAAGTCCCAGTGGTTTCTTAGTTCACACACTGGACCATGGTCTATGGAAAATGATTGATTTTTACAGAAAATGTATAAAGACCCCTGTTCTCACACCTCTACCTCTGAACTTCCGTGGAATGTCACTGAGATGTCAAACACAGATCATCAGTCCACTGGAGTGTGGATCATACCACCCGCAAATCCATACAGAGCAGCAGTCATCACCCTTCAAAACAATATCAAGTTTGGCGTCACCATTATTTCCTTAGAGTGAAAAGTGTTGGTTTAACGTTCAAGAGCCAACAAGCCTCCCTCACGTGGAGGAAACTCTGAGGCTGTGTCAGGATAGCTAGCAATAACTTCAGCGTACATGAAAGCGATTACAAGCCACAGGAATATATCCCAATAAATCCACCATAAATGTATTTCTAAATTAACTCCTCCTTAGCTAGCTTACCCTGGAAATGTTCACGGCCACCCCAATACCAGCCAACGTGGGGGGTAACGGGATGGAAGGGGATTCAGAATGGAATATCATACTTTTTTCGAATTTTATATGAATATGTGACTGTGTTAAGGCCCCTTTTAAGGCCATGGAAGGGCCCGAGGTGTAAGAGAAGGACCTGAAGTTTAAGTATCTTGATTTTATAGCAGATTTGTTTCTTATTTTATGAGATATTTGGAAGTTCTCTACCAAGGTCATTCCAGGAATTTTAATCTAAATGTGACAGATCTGCTGACGTTTCTAGTATGCCAAGCAGTCTTGTTGATAAGTGCTTGGTTCTCATCTCAAAGATTGAACTTTGTGGAGATGCTGATGCCAACGCTCCAAAGAGAATGGATTTCTCCGGCCAATTCTGATCCTACCGGGGAACTTGGAAAGCATGTATCTTTACCATGTGGACAGAGCCAAACTGACCTGTAACCATCACCAGTAGGTGGATCTTCCGGGGCATCTTGTGGGAAAGTCCTGGGAGAGGGAGAGGGGAGGTGTTGCTTGCCAATGGAGAAGGTAGCAGTAGGCAGAAGTTCCTGAAGCTGGACTGGCATCCGGGAGGTCTGAGGGCCTGTGAGTGAGTTGTCCATGTCTGAGCAGCACAACAGAGCACGGAATCAGGTGCATCTGTTAGGAGAACAAAGAATTGGAAGCACAGAATGAGAACCAGGAAACAAATGTGACCTTTGGTCCCCAACAAGTTTCTTCCCAAGACACGTAGGTAGGACCTGTGAAAAGAACTAGAATTACAAATGCATGAATTCAGTTTTACTCCAAGTCCTGTCACTGGCTCCCTGTTCAAGTCCCTCATGTGTGCATCTCTGCCCTGCGGGGTCCAGACAGCATCCCGTTTCCACAGCTTCATCGGACAAGGGTTCTGCCTTTTCTCTGTGAATTCATTCATTGGTCAGTATGGGTGTATTGAAATGCTTGTTACACCAGGCTATGCTCTAGTTACAGAATCCCTAACACTTGGAGTTTATAATCTAGCGGAAAGGCATAGAAATATGAATACACTAAATGTGCTGTGATGAAAATAACACCAAGGGCGTAAAGCACATCCCCAGTGGGGGAGTCACTTTCTCTAGGGTGACGATCAGGAACGATGCCTGTGAGGAGGTGTCACATAAGCGAAGTCCAGAGGAATGAGAGGGGGAGCCACGCAATGGTAGATCTAGGGGGAGAGTGTGTCAGACAGCAGAAACAATAAATGCAAAACCTGTGGCCCTTGGCATGTCCAGGGACAAAAAGAAGACTTAACTACATGGTGAATGATGTGCGAAGTGACAAGAGAAAAGTATAGAGAAGGAGGCATGGCATCAAATTACCTAGAACTTTAGAGACCAAGTTAAGAAAGAAGTACTTTGTCTTAATTGTCTAATTAAGATAATGTCTTAAACAGGAAAGTGATGGAAACCTATTTATTCTGCAAAATGATTGCTCTAATTTCTGCATGAAAAACCTCAACATCCCTGTCTCTAGTTCCACGTCTTGGTGTTTCCCCTTGGTTTCTGTTATGATCCTTCTAGATAACCTCCTTTGTCACCTCCTGATGAGCCCACTCAGTCTGTGGAGTGTGGTTCTCTCTGGTTTGGATTCTTTCCTATTGCCAACCAGGCTCGGTTTTGATACTACAGAGAAATTCCTGGATGGCCAGAGAATAAGTAGATGAAGAGGAACCCAACAGGATACAGTGCTGGCTGGTATCTGTTGAGAATTTTAGCAAACCCAAATTTGGGGGGGAAAGCAATAATTTATTTTTCAGACTTCCAGACAAATGTGACATACCCAGAAATTCTTATCTAATGCTAGAATATGTGTGTGGGGGGGGGCGGGATGAGGTGTCAATGGCTGTCATTTATACATTTTCTATTAAAAAAATCAAAATGTGGGGCGCCTGGGTGGCTCAGTCAGTTAAGCATCTGTTCCTTGATTTCAGCTCAGGTCATGATCTCAGGGTCATGAGATGGAGCACTGAGTCAGGGTCCATGCTCAGCTTGGAGTCTGTTTGTCCTTCTCCCTCTACTCCTCCCCCTGCTCTCTCTTTCTCTCGCTCTCAAATAAATAAATAAATTAAATCTTTAAAAAAATCAAAATGTAACAAAGTCCACAACTATAATGTTCATGATTTAATATTCTTCTGTTCAAAGGTTGTCTTACAATCTTGCAATAGCACATAGCTAGGGTACCTAGGTGGATCAGTTGGTTAAGCATCTGCCTTCAGCTCAGGTCATGATCCCAGCATCCTGGGATCAAGTTCCACATTGGGCTCCCTGCTCCTCAGGGAGTCTGCTTCTCCCTCTGCTCCCCCTCCCACTTGTTCTCTCTCTCTCAAATAAATAAATAAAATCTTTGAAAAAAAATAGCACATAGCTATAATTATGAGCATCAATGTCAACTAAAATAAGGCTGGGTTCATGGAACTACAATAGTTGCAGAGTTTCGTGTCTCAGAGATAGAACCAACAATGAATCCAAACAACTCCTAGATGTTTGTGTCAATAAACTGAACTTTTCCAAAATTCTTCTGGAATTCATAGGCTATCAAAAGCTCTACAGATAACTGCAAGGGAGAGAAAATGAAATTCTTTAATCTGCACATTTCATAGGGAATAAAATATGTTCTGAAACTTTCAAATACCTAGATTTTTGGGGTGATCCTGGTGGGCATGATTTAGCCTTAATAAGTTGCAAACTTAATAATACAAAAGGAAATATCACACTGCATATATATTAACAAGATGTAAAATTTGTTCAAGGTTGGAATACTAAGGTCCAGCAAACAAAAACCCGAAGGCAGATTAGAGGTGAAGGCTAAAAAGGCAAAAAAAAGCAGCCTCCCTAAGGCTAAAGTGGAGTATTGTGTTGAACAAGATGTATAAAGAATTGATGTTTTATACTCTCTGTACAGCAAGTTAATCCTATCAGGAGTAAGTATTGATTCACATTTCACATCTAACTTTCTTAGCTTCTGTCAAATTTAATGAATGTTGATGCAGGTATTGATTTCTCTGGCAAAAGGAAATTAACAGGACATTGTCCAATTTTGACCTTTACTTAATGAGCCATGTATATATCAAAAGCTTTTTAGAACATGTTGTTGATCAGCTACAGAGCTTCAAAAGCAGTCTTATGTACCCCCCCAAAATTTTAAGATTTTTAATGATCTCCAAACTCATAATTACAATAGAGACAGGCCTCAACAGATATTCAAAAGAGGGCATTCCCCTTGCTACAGTCCAGGCAATGAGAAATCTTCAGTGGCTTGAAGAATGTGGAAAATGGGGTATGTCTACTTATAATTCAAATACCGTCTTTTACAAGGCCCTGAGGGGAGTTTATTTAATAGCAATCCTGAATAAAACCTCTGGCTATGTACCTTTATGTTTAAATATAAGTCCCAGCACATGTTTGTTTAAATCACTACTACTGAAAAAAGCTTGACTTTAGTTTTGATTTCCTTTTGGGCAAAAATTTAGTTCCAGAGCCTTGAAAAGAAATCACATGCATTACAGTTGATCTGCTACTTTTAGTTATTTCATTTCTTTTTTCTGTAACGTGTACATTATCTAGATGATCCTAAGGCATGGAAATAATCAAATAAATAGCCAGAGCCTCTGAGTAAATGCCCTTATAATCCAAAGTAGGTGTAGACTAAAGAGTTGGGATCACATTTTCTATTGAATGCCATATCTTGCTAATATAAACTACAGGAATCTTCTATATTTTGCAGTATATTGTAGCATTGTAGTTTTTTTATATCAAATTACCCAAAGCAATAGCTATTACTAAGTCTTGAATATAGTTTGTTACATAAATATGTATGATAGGTGGCATTTGTTATAACCCGATTCTGATAGCCCAAAGTGCAAATTATTGGTATAAGACCATAAGCCAGTCCATAATTTTGGATGAATTAAATTTGGTGGAATAAATTTTGAAGCTCTTTGCAACTGTCTGCTTCACATCTCTCCTTGTTTAAATTATGGATTTCTAAAGCTCAACAGGTCCAAGGGAAAATGGGATTAAAAGGCATTATGAAACTGGCCAAAGAAAAGAGAACTATAAAGTGATAGGATAGGGACCAGATCCAAGAGAACTGGTCAAACATAGTGCAAGGGAACGTCAAGAATCTTATAAAGGGAGGGAGGTCATTATCTGCTTGGCAGAAATGTTCAAATAAGTTCCTTGACAACTGAACAACACTGGTTTCTTCAAAATATATGAAAATAAAAAACATTCAAATTGTAAATGGTTCTCAGATGTATGTCACTTGAAATACTGCGTGCCTCTAAATTAAAGTGTGCATTAACATGACCTTTCCTTAAATAAATCCATTTGCTTACTGTATATATTATTTTGAATCACAAGCTGCAGTAGAAAGTGGCCTAATGAACCTTCTAAAATATTTCTCATTATAGTGTAATTCCAATTACACCAAGGAAAATATTTTGGAGGAAGTTGTAATTTTATTAGGTTCTCTCAAGTATTTTTTCTGAATTTTTTTGGATCAAGGCCAATTATGACTTTTTTAAAATCTGATTTTCAGCCTATAAATAAATAATAAATAAATAAATGAATAATAAATGTATACACAACTGAAAACAGAATGGAGGAAATGGGAATCTTTTGCAAATTCATGTATCAAGTATATTCTTAAAATTTTATAAGAATATTCTTTTAAATAAAAGATTTATAATCAAGACATTGACCTCATTTCAGGGTCAAACCCCATCTCTGCCCTCTTTCTTACATCCTGTACTTACTGTATTTAGTTGTATAAAATAGTTGAGGAGAGTAATTCTTGACTAAGAAATTCCAGTCTGTATCTTGAATAGTATTAGATTGCATTACATTTCCTAAAAAGTGGGTTAAAACTATTTTATGTAGTTAAGAGATATTAAGCAGTAGAAACAAATTATCAAATGGAGTTTGGGAACTTTAGAAGTTTTTCCTTAGAAATCTTAAAAATAGGTTAGGAAGTCACATGGGATGGTAGAACTGTGGTCTCTCTTGAAGCAGGGAATGGGCCCTATGACTACTTGAGATTCTTTCCAGTTCAGTGAGTCTATAATTTTATTTCTTAAATGCACTAGCAATGTGTAAAGACCCTTTAAGAGCTATGGGATTGGGAATGGTCTTATTTTTATACAAATGATACATTGTAGTCACGTGATGCTCTTTCCTCTAAGGAGCCTGGAGAGCTTTCTTGACATTTTCTAATTAACTTTCCTTGCATTTCTCAGACGCATGAATAAGGCACATGTTATTATCCGCATTGTAGGCACAGCAAAGTTGAGTGCCTGGGGATAAAAAAAAAATGAGTGAACCCATACTTATAAAGCTTGAATACTTGAATTAACAAAAGACTTGCTTTGCTTTCAATAAGGCAGAGTTTACAGAGGAGGTAGCTTCACAAAATCCTCGGTCTTTGAGAGGAAAAGTGAATAAACTTTTTTGGGCATAACTGTGTAGAATCGTGTCCATGGTACCAGCTCACTATATGTAGCAAAACGATGGAAGGGCAATTGTGAACACAGCTTTTAGGGGAAAAAAAACAATCAAAACCAATGGATGGTCCAAGTCATGTATGGTATGAATTCCATTTACCTCAACTAGTTATTTTGT